AGAACTCGTTACAGAGTCCCGTGTTTCCGTTTATCTCTAGCACTCCGATGCCAGAGAGACAACACCGTAAGTATTGCCAAGTGTTTTCGCTATCGTTTCAGTAACATGGAAGCTTCTCCTAAGAATTATCCCAGTGGTGGCCATTGTAAGGTCATGCCTTGTAGTAAGTCTGATGTTTTCAGACATTCTTTATTGATTTTAAAAAATATCCTGTTTCCTTTGTATTGATATACCAGTGTTCAGAAGACAACGTTTTTAGGGGAAGAACTTAGTGACTTTATCGGAGCTTATTTTTCTTGTTTGCTAAATAATTTAAGGAACTTTTTTTCAAGGCTTAATTGCTCAGAAAGAATCTTTACCTGTTTCACATTTTCTACCCTAAGATGAAATATATTTTTGGCTTCCATTAATTATTTTTTCAATTTTAACTTTGGAGGATGAATAGATTACATTGATATTCTATAAAATTATAATTGAGAAACAGCTGAGTACTCTTAGCCGATTTCTAACACAAGAAAGAAAAAAGACTAGTTGAGTTTGGGTGGGAAATATTTTATCAAAGTAGATGAAGTGAAATACCTGTGATGAGTATTTTCAGTGTCTCCTGGCTGCCAGGCCCATCAGCGTTCCAAGACTGAAAATATTCGCATGCTACAAATTAGTATTACATACCAAAACTCTAATTGAGACGTAACTATTCTCTGTTTATATAATTCCCAGCAAATGTTTGTGCAGCTTAGTCTGCTGTGAACCCTTTCTACCGCCAAAGAAAAATGTTTCCATAGAAAGATTAATATAATAAAAATTAGAATTATCTAGGATTATCACTTACGCTTTCAGAAGTACCCTGCCTTTTCTATCACCCAGTCTCTGTGCATGTAATTCATTAAAATAACCACTGCAAAATACAGTCTTATAAAAATGCATTGTAGTTACAGAGAATGTTTGTCTGGGAACATAACATTTCTGATGGCAAATGTTTGACCTAATTACAAGTTTATAACAAAGAAACTACCTGTCATCTCTTATGAAGACCATTTATAGTATTAACTGGACCTGTGGGGATCTCTGAGGTATAATTATTAGTATTTGCTTTGTTTTTATTCACTGGAAATTGGAAGGCTAGGACATACCAATCAAATATAATTTTTAAGTGTGGAAATGTGCCAAGCAGGCGTTTATTATTTGTTTCATTTGTAACTTAGGTTGTAGAATCATAGATTATATTTATAGATGGTGGGGACCACACAGATCATCCCCAAACTCTGTTGAATATAGTGAGGAAACTGAGGCCCACTCAGATTAAGGGACTTGTTCAGGGTCACACAACCAGTTCCTGCCAAGCCCCATAACCAGCTCCATTATTAAAAGGCGAATATGGCGTATGTTAGTGGCTCATGAATCACTGGACAACACTCCCCAGCAGGAGATATTTCCTTCTAAATTACTTCCTCTTGTTACTTGCCTGGAAGAGGTGGAGAACAGCTGGTGCCTGTAGTTTTGTTCCCTTACGACTTGACTATTTCTCATTATTTCATTATTGTTCTTTCTAATCTTCTTCAAGAATGCCATGCATACGAGGATCACATTTGTTGCTTCTTGGTTTTGTTTGCACTAGAGCAGGATGCTTAGTATATGGTCCCCAGCGCCAGCTACCTAATTGCCGGTCTCTGGTTAAAAACATTACTGAGAATTAAGATGATCAGAACACAGCATTAAACTAGGAACAGGGCCGAGCATGACTGCACAGGTTGTATTTCGTGAAGCTGGCCCGATGGTTCCAGATGCTTTGTCTAAAACTTTCTTCTTCAGAGGTTACCAATACCAAACTGTGGGCTTAAATATTTTGATACAGCATGAAGATTATAATTTTTTTTTATAAAACAAGAATATGGTTTTCTTTTCTGTCTCTGTGGATAAGTTCATTCTGTGTAATACTTGAAGTTTTTCCCAAGATTTCTTGAGGAGGAATGCTAGGTTGCAAAACTTAAAAAATAAGTAATGTACGTTATGCCTGGAAATGTGGTATCTTTTGGGTTGTCGGAAAAGTCATGACATATTTTTTCTATGTTTTTTGTTGCAAAAATGCATCATGATTTTTCCAACAACCCAACAGAATGCAGGAACCAGGTGATCCAGTGGAGCCCCCAAAATGGTAACTGTATAATTGGATTTGGTCTCGGGCATTTAATTTGTAGAAGGATGTTTGATGATTAAAAAAAAATGCAACTATTTTGCCAAAATCTTATTTAGATCATTTATGTCCAAGTGATTAGGTATACCTGAGTACTAATTTCTGCCTTTTCATTAAATTTTAAATATTTTACTTGGGGGTATAAAAAGGTTACAGTTCTATTTCATAGCATAAATACAGTGAAAGTACCATATCACATAATATTTGTCACATAAATCTTTATTGATACTAACCTTAAAAAATTAGGTGGCATTATTTGCTTTACTAAAAACTTACCACATGACAAATATATGTACATTTTTTTATTTCTGTATGTTGGCGTTAGATTCTTTTTCTAATCTAGAGCTAGTTATATATCGCTGCCCATTTTCAGAGAAAAATAGGATTTCTGAATAGTAATGCTGTTTGACTAAAGAATTAACTTTTAAAAGATACACACACACACACTCACACATACATATATATTAGAATAAAGTTCAAGAAAAGGCTTTTTTTTTTAATACTTTGGCATTTTGGAAGTTACTGCTTTGTAGTGCTAATATAAATTTTACCAGTATAAAATGAATTCAAATTATCATCGCCTTTTTGTGTTAACCCTCTTTTTATAAGAGATAGCCAACAGTGCCACCATCAGAACAGACAGGCTCTTCTCATCATAACTATTGGTTTTCTAAAAAAAAAAATAAATAAACACAAAAAACAACCTACACTTAAAGAATGGTTGAAAGATGCGTATGTTTAAACAGACACATAAAAAAAATTGGGAGATACCAATGATATAATGAAACAGCCTTGATTTATTTTATGATCAAATCAGACTCATAAAATTATTCTTCAAAAACCTGCTACTAATTTGGATGCTTACGTTTCACCAAGTCGTTCTGTCTAGGCAGCAGTATATTGATAACAGGTTATTGCCGTCCTCTTAAATTTGTTGTTCAAAGAGAAAGTCCCTAAGAAGAATATAAAATCATGAAATAATCAGACCATCTTAGTCTGATAACAGCTTCCCGAATGTGGGTTTCAAGGGCAATTTTTTTTTTTATTCTGCCCTTTCCTGTAGATATGATTCATTTTTAAAATAATGACACTTTAAGAGTAAGCTGCCAAATTAATTATAATTATGATGATTTTAGACTCTATATTAAAGCATAAAATTTTTCTTTCACGGTCTGATACTTAACATGATACGGTATATTTAGTTTTGAATGAAAAGAAACCTGGTCCCCATCTTCCTGTTGACATCAAACAGTCTTCTGATATGCTAATCCACATCTCACAGAGCTCATAGACAGGCTTTATTGGAACTCATTTCCAGCCGGAAAGAAAATGATCTGTGTAGAACGAATTTTGCAGCATTTCCCCCTCAGAATGAAAACTGATGTTGTCACAATCTGCGGTTAAACATAGTTGATATGAAACGGGATATGGGAGCTTTTTAACATTGTAGTAACTAACACTCTGAATTGCTTTTTAATTACCTGGTCATCTAATTGGTATTTGTTTTGGCCTACTGATGTACTAGCCGTTAAAATAGCTAAGAAGTTCATTTCCATAGTATGTGTTATAATAAAGATTAACCTAAAGTTATTAGCTTTTCATTAAAGATTTAGATTTCAGTATATTGAGTGCACATGAGACAGTAGGTATAATCTTTTGCTAACTGTGAAGCTGGGATATCAGCAGCCTTCCCTGCACGGGTTTTCATTTCAGCCTGCCCTCAACTGGTCACAGGGGTAAACATTGATAGACACTTGTTTTGGAATTATCTCAAGTACAGTTTCTCTATATTCAGTAACAAAAAATCAAAATCAGTTGAACTTCCCAAACTGTCAAGTTTCCAGATAAAATGCATTAAACTATTATACACACAATGGTACACGTACATAAATGTTAATATCTATTACTAACTTTATATCCTAAAAAAATTCTCAGAAAATCTTGTGAAAACTTGTTTCACTACAATACTTCATGTTGGTGTGTTATCAACATTGTTAAATAGGAAACCAATTGCATTTTTAGTTTTGAAAAATTATTTTTACGTAATGAATCTTATGAAACTAAGAATTTGTTCTTGAATGAGTATATTGCTAGCATACTTTTCTAGCAAATGCAGCGTAGAAGAAAGGACATGTGGCAGCTGTTCTAATGGTTGTCCTTCCTGCACGACGGCCCTCTCCTAGCTGCCCCATTCGTGCTCAGCTTCTGCCTGACCTTCCTGTGATGTTTTCTTCTGTGAAGTTTAGTTGCATTCATTGAGAGCACAGTGCAATTTGCCTGATAATGTACAATAGAAATATCTATGAAAACTTTTTACTTAAATCCATTTAATTTAACTTTTAATAAATTAAGTGATATTGCAAATCATCCAGGTGGTTCAATATTTATTTATAAGGAATTCTAAAGTGAAACCTCTGTCGGGAGGAGAATTGTCTTTTAATGAATATAATTACCTTCAGGTTTCGAGGCTATTTTTTTTCTGGCTTTTCCTAAAATGAAATTTGACAGCTTCCTTTCCAGGATTAGAAATTATTTTATATAGATGTTCATTTTTTTGAAATAGTTGGGCATTGCAAAGATGTAGCATTACAAGGCCCGCGCTAACTTTAGACGCAGTAGGGAGACATTTAAGCTCTGATGCCAGAGAAAATTTGAGGAATCGTCTCACTGTGGAACATCTACGCTTTTTCGTTGCTAATAAGGAAATAAAAGTAGGTGTTTTCTGACTGAGGGCTCTTTGCATGTCAGAATCGAGTCTTAAGGTATTTTTAGTTCTTATAATTCTTATTTTTAATTTCCTATACAGCACTTTAAGAAGCAGAAGAGGCTAATTCCTGAGAGAACCGTTTGGAAGTACTTCGTCCAGCTCTGCAGCGCCTTGGAACACATGCACTCTCGGCGGGTCATGCACAGAGGTAAGGGCGACCCCAGGGGCCGTGGTCGGCGAGTGTCGCCTCGGCGGCACGTTGCTAGGCCCGCAGGATCACGTTCCTTTCAAGCCCTGCGCACTGCCGTGCTTTCTAGGGCACTTGTTTCCGAAGCGCAGAGTTACTGGAGTGATGAGGCTTTAGGAGAGCCCTGCTTGGCTTTGACGAAGCGTGAGAATTAGCTGTTTTTCTGCTTACCTCTTCTGAGCATCTGATTTAGTTGGTAAAGAAAAAAAACGTAGATGCAGGAAAGCAGTTGAATATGCATAAGGAAGAGGGGTTTTTTTGTTGTTTTTAGTTTTTTGTTTTCCCCAAATGAACAGTGTATATTATGGCTTCTCAGGTTTTTAATTTTCAGCGTTAACTCTTAGTATGTTCTTGATTTTCTGTCAAATGGTTGGACATAACGTGAAGGTTGTATTACTAAGGAACTGACCCCTTGATTTTGGGGCGTGAAAAATAATATTTAAGCAATTAAGATTTCTAAGGTCATCTAAGTAAATGATTATATGTATATAGAGTTATGATTTTATATTTTATGTAAATATATCAATAAATTACTGTTTAGTAAGGTATTTTATTTAAAATTGATATATATGGGGCACAGATTTATTTCGTTATTTGAATTTCACAAGAGTTTATTTGAAAATGGAAAACAGAATATTTTAAATGAACATTAATAGTGATCTTTATTATGCTGCTTTGATGATTGTTTATCAGAGGACTGAGAATATAGAAATATTAGGATATGTAAAAATTACTCAAAGTAATTGGTTCGAAATTCAAACTAACCTTTATTTTTAAGATACATTTGAAATTCTGCCATGAGAAGTGATTTTTAATCCCTTGAAACACCTGCACTGACAGCCTCTTTCACCTGATGCCTTCATTTATTCACAGATATAAAACCCGCTAATGTGTTCATTACAGCCACTGGGGTGGTCAAGCTTGGAGACCTTGGACTCGGCCGGTTCTTCAGCTCCAAAACCACAGCTGCACATTCTCTAGGTAAGAGATGAAATGAAAGTTCACTGGGTTATCTCCCCGCCCCTCCACCAGGGTTAAAAACGCAAAGGATGTACCGATCATATGCTAGTGCTTATATACTAAATAAAATAAAACTGTTTGTGAAAAGTCACCACATCCTGAGCAGACATTACATCTCTCTATTTGGGGTCACGTGTCCCTTCACACGACACTTGGGGACTTCTGTTCATTTGACCTCAGGCAGGCACTTGGTAAAAGAAAATGTTAATGAACAAATGCAGTTTTAACTATTGCCATGGAATCCCCCTTTTATCTTACGTTTAATAATATTAGGATAATACGATGAATAAACCATATTTAGGAAGAGGAATTCACTTGACCATTTAAAAATACTATAGTATACAGTTTGTAAGTGTTCATTAAAATTTCAGGTGTGACACTGCAGAGGGGGAAACCTAAAGATCTGTAGCTAATGAGGAAAAGACTTCCCTAAATTATAAAGTAGGAGATGTCTATAGTTGATGTATTCTAGAGCTAATAATATACCAGTGTCTTTTATACCTAAAATAGAACAGAACTGAATGTAGCTATTACAACATTACATTAATGTTGTAATACTAGTTTAAAAACAATATAAATTACTAAGAAGAAATAATTTTTAAATTGAATAGCATAAAGGGCGTGATAGAGCTTCTCATAAAACTCTTCAAATCGTATTTTCTCCTTAGAAATGTTAAGACTTAGACAGAAATAGTGAATCTAGAATAAACTAAGAATTAAAATAAAAATAAGTTGCCTTTAACTTAATGGTGCCCTATCTTTGGTGTCATAATTTCATTGAAAACTATTGACATTTTTTAGATAAAATTGTTTTAAAATGTGAAATAAAATACTCTTAAATGGCTGGATGCGGAATAAGTGAGTTACACTAAATACCCAACTAGTAAAACCAGCATCTGAATTAGTTGACTTGCCTTTTAAAAATTTTTCTGGCTGTGTTTCTAAGGTTCTGTGTGGTCTTGAACCTGTCTTTTAATTTTCTATGTCCAGAACAGTCTGTGGCACTTAAATAGGCACCCAGTCAATATTTGCTGAATGACAGAATATTGGATTCTAGTTTAAGGAGTGATGGAAAGATAATACATTCCCTTTTCACAGTTTCAATTTTGTCAAGTACATCAAGAAAACAAAATTTCAACTGATGCTGAATAATACTAGTTTTTGCTTGTTTGTTTAAATTGAATGTTACTGTGTTCCAAACACTGCATAGGAGCTTAGGATACAACAATACTGGTTTTTTTCTTTTTAAAGATTTTTTTTTTTTATTGGGGAATTGGGACAGTGCTGGGAAATTGGGGGAAGGGGAACAGACAAGTTGCTGTCCTTTTGTTCTTCAGTCTAGTTGTGGAGGACGTTGCTTCCCTGGCCCAAGTTGACACCATCATTGTGCTCTTCCCGGGCGAAGCAGATCAGTCACCGGCCTCTGGACGGCCACTCACACTGGCTGCTGACTACTCACGGTAGCCCATGGCAACCCACTGCCACAAGGGCTGCAGCCTACGCTGTTGCCGGCGACCCACGGCAGCCCAGCTCCAGGTTGAGCTGTTGTTTAGCATCTTAGCTGTGGAGGGCAGTGTCACTGGCCCTCATATGTGGGATCCGAACCGGGGCCCTCTGGCATCCCAAGCCGGTTCTTAACCAACGCACTACTTGGCTGGCCCTAGTTTTTTCTTTGTAATCCTACATTTATTTTTCTAGAGTATTGCATTTTTTTTTTCCTGAATAATAAAATTTGACATGAAATTCCACAAGAAATGCACAAATTTGCATAGCACTTTAATAAAGTTTTATTTGGAAGTTACAACTCTTACAACGCAAATGGTGGAGGGTTTTTGTGAAGAAAACCTTAGGCTGTCTAGACCAGTCTTTACATTAATCACTAGTGAAGAGAACGTGTTTTCACTTTGCTACCCACCCGAATGCAGTATCTTAACAGCATTCTGTATTGATTTACTGAGAAATGCTAGCTTACAACCACACACCCCCGTGCTCACGCACACACGTGTATCTTTAAACGCAGTGCGTGTAAAAGTGTTCTGAACACTGATCCCCTGTGTGAATGTTACGTTGCTTAAATTAATGAGATGGTGACAGTGAAGAGTTTTGGTACGTTTTTTTCTGCAGGTACCAGGAAGGTAGCCTGAACAAGATAAGCCCTGGTCTTCATGGGTCTTACCTGGTGGTGGGAGGAAATAGGTGATTCAAAGAACAAACAACAACGCAAAACAGAAATGAGGTGACTTGTTAGCCACATGACAGAGTGACTCTCGGGGCAGTATTTTAGAGAGGGTGTGGCAGACAAGGCCTCTGTGAGGAGTTGGTGCTGGCACTGAGATTAGATGGATGCACACGAGTCCGCAGTACGCGGACTGGGAACTGGGGCTCCAGCCCACTTCAGAGCAGTTCATGCAAAGGGCGGATGCAGGCCGAGGGGGAATCAGGGGCTTCCGCCAGACGTTTTATTCCAGTGCAGCGGGAGCTTCTGCAAGGTTGTAGTCAGGACAGCGATGTGGTCTGATGTGAATGGAAGCGGCAGCCTTGAACCCTGTGGTCTTCGGGGTGACCACGCCCAGTGCTCTCTGCTGCTTTCACAGTCTCTGTCCTGGTTACTGGCTTCTTTTGCCCCCAGAATGCCTCTTGGTAGGTGCCACCCAGCACTGAGCAGAGCGCATCCCACGTGAGCTCATGAGTCCATAGAACAGAAGGCTTATCACGGCCTGTCATCTCTCATCTAGACGGTTCTTTGGTTTTTATTCCCCTTCCCCTCTTTGTACACGGATTTGTTATGTGAAGTCAGATCTTCATTGTGCTTTTGCAGTGGGGTATGGCCAGCAGACTAACTGTAGGATTGTACACGTCCCAGTGGATTCTGCCCTGTTATCTTTCATATTGTTTGTCAACCTTACAGATGTACCAGATGTTAGAAAATGTGTTGTGTGTGTGTCTGTATGTCTGACTTCTGTGGTAAGAACACAGCTCTCTCTTGAATCAAGGCTCCTGATGGTCTAGATCAGCGGCTATTACAGTTCTTGGCAGTGACCCCAACATCGTGACCCTGTGGGCACCAGCCTGTAACTGAACCACGCTTCACGCAGCTGTGTCTGCTGCCGCGTTTGCAGCGCCTCCTGGTACTGCCTGCTCTCTTTTATTTCATTTTACCCAAAACAGCGCTAGTTGCAGCCCGCTAAATTGATTTCACAACTTAGTGATGGGTTCCGACCTGCAGTCTGGAAAGCATTGCTCCGTGTTTACAGTACTTCCATGCTGTTTCTTTTACTTCAAGACAGATCCCCAGATTCCCACATGCTCCTGACTTGCTGTTGGGTCAGTTCAGTCGTCAGACCTCAGTTAGTCATTTCCTGTGCTCCCTGTGCTGCTGAGCTGGGCAACAACATGCGTGGTCGTTCTGTTCAGTTTGCAAATCATTCAGCTTCCCACGTTGCTTGGAGATACATGGGGGTGTGAATAGGAGCTGTTCCTGTTCCGGAATCGCGGAAATGGAAGCAGAGGGGTAAGCGCGTGGGCTTGTGGCTTCCGAGGCTGGTTCACTGGCTGCACCAGCATTCTCACCAATGGGGCACAAGGGTTTCTTTCTCTCCACAGCCTCGCCAACACTTTTTTTTTGGTCTTTTTGATGACAGCCATCCTGAGAGGTGTGAGGTGGTATTTCCTTGTGGTTTTGATCAGCAGTTCCCTGATGATCAGTGATGTTGAGCATCTTTTCATGTGCTTGTTGGCCATCTGTATGTCTTCTCTGAAGAGATGTCCATTCAAGCCCTCTACCCATTTTTTAATCAGAATCGCTTTTTATTTCGTTACATGCATTCTTTATATATTTTGGATATTAACCCCTTATCAGGGAAATCATTTGTGAGTATCTTCTCCCATTCAGTAGGCTAGCTTTTCATTTTGTTGATATTTCCTTTCCTGTGCAAAAGCTTTTCAGTTCGATATAGTCCCGTTGCTTTATTTTTGCTTTTGTTGCCCTTGTCTGAGGAGACAGATCCAAAATATATTGCTAGGACCAATTTCAGAAAGCTTACTGCCTATGTTTTCCTCTACGAGTTTTATGGTTTCAGGTCTTTGATCCATTTTCACTTTATTCTTGTATATGGTGTAAGACATGGTCGAGACGAATTTTTTTGCAGATAGCTGTCCAGTTTTCCCCAACGCTGTTGGTTGAAAGGACTGTCTTCCCCGTGGTGTATTCTTGCCTCCGTTGTTGTAGATGAATTGACCACATATGCGTGGGTTATTGCTGGACTCTATTCTGTTCCATCGGAGTATAGGCCTATTTTTGTGCCAGTGCCATACTGTGGTTTTGTAATATACAGCAGGTCCTTGAATAATATCATTTCGTTATAACATTGATGAAATGCCTTAGGAACTCAACTCTTGTTTGTATCAATCAGCCTGTGGGAAATTGGTTTTGTTATGTGTTTTGCTTAAAGTTGCAGAATCTGCTGACAGCATTAAGTGCGGACTTTCTGTAGTTTGAATCAGGGAGTGTGGTGCCTCCAGCTTTGTTCTTCTTTCTCAAGATCACTTAGGTTAGTCAGGGTTTTTTGTGGTTCCATACAAGTTTTAGGATTGTTGCAGTTCTGTGAAATTGCCATTGGTATTTTGATAGGGATTGCACTGAATCTGTAGATTGCTTTGGGTAGTATAGTCATTCTGATAATAGTAATTCTTATTATCCATGAGCACAGGGTAGCCTCCCATTTATTTGTGTTGGCTTCAGTTTTTTTCATCAGTGTCTTATAATTTTCAGAGTATATATAGGTCTTTCACTTCCTTGCTTATATTTATTCCTAGGAATTTTAATCTTTTGGATGCAGTTGGAAATGGGATTGCTTTCTTAATTTTTCTTCCTGGTATTTAGTTATTATTATTAGTGTATAGAAATACAATAAAGTTCTGTATATTAATTTTGTATCCTGCAAATTTAATGGGTTCATATA